CAAGCTAAAAGTTTTATACAAGAAGAGTTTTTCTGAAGTGGTTCATCAATCACATAATTCTTAATCACAGCAGAATGCAAAACAGATTCTTTTCTATCATTTCTGATGGTATATCCTTCACTGAATGTTTAGAAAAAAACTATCTTTTCTTTTCAGCCAGTGTGGACCACACCACCAATGATCCCCTTCCAACAAACACTGAGATGTCACATTTCTACTAACTAAATCAGCAGGGTTGCCTTTTCAACTACAGTGATTCCAAGACCTGAGATCTGATTTTTCCTGTACTTCAGCCACTTTATTACCATCAAACTCTTTCCATTGTTTCGCAGAACCCTTTACCTAATACCGAAAAATTAAGGAGCTAGCGAATGCACAACTTATTAATAAGATCCTTAAAAACTTCACCCAGATACTTTCGTAATCTAACTCCTATGACTGTTGTCATTAGTTTCAATCATGGCAACATCAATTTCGTCAAAGGAACTACTCTGCTATTCGATATGACAAACGACAACGAAATAGCACCCTTATCATTTTAATAACGACAATATGCTATAGCAGCACTAGCGAGATTAGATGCATTTCAAAATATGTGTATTTCTATTTTTTAATTTAAGTTTTTCACAATGCAGAAAAAAATATTTAGGAACAGAAATATCTTTCACACCTTTAACCTTAGAACAACAGTTAGTTTACTTCATTTTACGATCATCTAGCAATTAATCATCCTAACCCAAATTTCCTGTAGCAAATACTTAATCCTGAATACGAATAGAGCTGTAAAACCAATCGAATCAAAAACCATTGCAGCAATACGCAAGATATAAGGCTTTGTGCTCTTCAAATTCTTTAAACTCTCCATTAATCCTGCTACATCTAAAGAAACTTTATTATTTACTGGATTCCACATCAATTCTAAGACCTTCAATTGAAAATCAAAAATACGATTATCTTCGTAAGTCCATTCTGTATCCATAATGACCTCAGTTTCTCAGAATTTGTTTTTAATTTTCGTTACCAAAATTAGGATAATTTTCACTTTTGCTCTTAAATAAATATGTTCCTTCCCTAGACCGTATTTCTTTGTCTAGAAAAGTAAGTAAATCCTTAATAGTTCGACTGCTATCTGGATATATTTTATTGAATTCTAAAACAAGTTCTTTCAGAATTCTTTCCAACGAAATGGGATTAAATTTTCTGAAACATTTTGTTTCAACTCCTAACGATTCTACACTTCTTTCTAATTAGAGTAGCAGCTGCATCAAACAACCTCCTCAATTCAGCTAAATCATTTGTATTTATAATAATACAAATTTTAAGCAATTGATTCAAATTTATTTGTAGAAGAGTATTCTTGCTTTGAAATCTAAACTAAATGGTGCAACATCCATTAGTTCGCCCTGATATCTGCTTTCTTGACCGTTGGCCCCATGCCGTTACAACACTAGTCAAGAGAAGGGAAAAAATATTAGAATTGCAAGCTTTCAACGTGCCTACCTTCACAAATGGTAATGAATTGCATGCGAAAGATTGTTCACATCAATGACGATCGTCGCAGGAGAAATCTGTGTAATTTCCCGTTTTATGGCATCTTTCAATTCTGACAAATCTCGTGGATCTGATGTGTACACTTTAGATTTCAGATAATTACAAACAGAAATCCATCGAAGTGAGGTCGAAGGATCACGGTGGCCACGAAATTGCAAAGTTACGGGAGGTGACTTTATCTTGAAACATTTTAGACGTATTCTTTTCTTATGTTGTCATTAGTTCTTTGCTATTCTTTTCTTTGCAAATACTTTAGACCAGCAATTTTCGTCATACGTGTATTGCTTCGACGCCATTTATGGTTTTTCAATATGCAGATCAATTTTCGCAGGAAAAAAAATGGTGTTGCCATTAGAAAATTTCGAATTTTTTTTAACTGTATTCATAACCGTGACAGCTTATTATGTTAGATCATCACAATCTCGATCGGATATTTCCAAATAACAATATCTGAAGTTTCTTTTCGATTGGTTAAGGAGAATAGCCCGCTGGGGGCTCATGTATCCGGGATGTTTTTTTATGGCCATCCTGTATGTAAAGAGACTTTATGAAATGCACTCACACATGTTGCCATATTGTATACAGTATTTTTAGCATCAGAGTTGCTTTTAGTCTCGAAACTCACTTTTTGTCCATATCACTTTTGTGTCCGAATCACTTTTGAAATTGTTACCACCAAATGTTACCGCCATGTATTATTTAAAAGAATTAATAATGAAGAATCTGCATGTGTGTATGTTTCTCGCACCGTGGAAATACGACGGCGCCAACAGCTATCGAAATTTTTAACAAAAGTAGTCCTCCACCCGAAAATGGGCATTCCGAAGTCTAAATATTAATTTTGAATTAACTTTTGATTTATTTCATATTTCTCAAATATTTAACGAATTTTGTTTTTGAGAAATACGCTGATTTGAAAGCCAGAACAAGCAACTTACTTCGAAATAAAACATTATTATCTCTTGCGGCTGCAGTTCAGCAAAATAAAAGATATTAGTCTTGATTTTAATCCACATATTCAGCTGGTTGAAAGCAATGTGTTGCCACTACTTCAAATAGAATAGTAACTATCTGCACGTACCACTGTTTGCCATTCAGTAAAGCGTAACGTATTTAACGTTCAAATTTAATCTCTCTGTTGCTGAGTAGCAAACCAACTAATTCAAAAGCAAATGTATTCTTCTTTTTTGTCTGACTGATTAAAAAATATGCATTTAAATCACAAAATGTCTTATAAATATTAAATATTTTTATGAAATTACACTAGCTGGACCTATTTAAATCATTAGCCCATATGACTAATCCAGAAGGGCTATTAGTTACTTCAAATCACTATAAACAGCTGTATCACATTTCAAATTGTTTCTAACAAATATTATCGCCCTGTGTTGTTTAAAAAAATTTAAATAGAGGAGAATATGTAAGTGTGTTTCTTATATCGTGGGAAAACGACGGTACCTAAAGCAATCAAATTTTGAATAACGTAGACCTCCAACCGAACATGGGCACCTGAAAACGCGAATTTTGAATTTCAAATTTGTTTTATTATTGTTTCACATTTTGTTAAACTTTAATGAATTTGTAATTAACAAACTCAACGATTTCAAGCAATGGCAACACTGTACAGAAAAAAGCATTTTTATCTCGCGAGACTGTCTATCGGAAATTCTAAAGATATGCTGTTTTTAAGTATTTTTAACGCAAAGGGGCGTTATACCAAATGCTCTCGAAACTTGTATGTATGTGTAAATGAAAGAAACTCCAGATTTTGGTGTTTCACCGTAACATATATAAGGAATGGTAGTAAAGAAGTAAAATTGTTCACAAGGGTTCTGTAAGCCGCTCACTGCCACAACTGAACAATTATGATACAGAAGACACATGTGGATGATTTTTAACATGGTAGAATAATCGGCCGCCTGGAATGTGGGAGTATTCAGACAGAAGTATCGGAGGAACTTGGAATAGCCCAAAATGTCATCTCTAGGCTTTGGCAACGATTCCAAAGTGATGGAAATTAGGGATTACAGTGCAGGTTGCCCCAAGTTACGACTCCGAATGACGATTGGTACTTGTCAATAACTGCCAAAAGAAGCAGACGAAGCACAGCATCAGACCTGTCTGCTCAACTATCTTCAGATATGAGTACGACAATTTCAAGGCAAACCGTGTACAGACATTTAGGAAAGCTTGGTGTATATGCTCGCAGGCCTGTCAGATGTGTTCCGCTCACGGCAAATCACTGTCGCCAGCGGTTAGCCTGGAGTAGAGAACTAACAATGTGGACATCATCACAGTGGTTCTTGTGCGATGTTTTCCGACGAATCCAGTTTTAGCTTGCAGTCTGATTCACGTCGGTCTTTCCATATGGAGAACTCTAGGTACCCGCTACTACCAAGACAACGTCATTGAACGACACCGTTGCGGTGGTGCAGGAATGCTTGTTTGTGGTGGAATTATACTGGGCTCAAGAACAGATCTGCATATTCGGATCGGAACCATGACAGGCCAAATTTATCGGGACTTCATTTTGAAACAACATGTACGTTTGTTTGAGGGTGCTATGGGCACAAGATTTGTGTTTATGAATGACAGCGCCCGTCCTCACCGTCCAAACATTGTAAAGGAATGCCTTCAATCTGAGGATATTACCCGTATGGAGTGGCCAGCATTCTCACCCGACTTGAATCCAATAGAATATCTTTGGGAATGCTTTGCCAACGGATTGCGGCGCGTAAAATACCTCTTAAATATGTACCGGAATTTCGGAGAGCATTGCTTGCTGAGTGAAGTAATCTTCCCCAAGATCAGCTGGACAATTTTATATTCAGCATGCCCAGGCATTGTATGGACTGTATTTCATCGTCTAGGAGACATACAGTGTATTAACCATTATACTAACTATGTAGTGTTAAGTTTTTGTAAGGGAAATATTTTTTGCTATTGAACTGAATTTTAGGGTTTACGTGCAAAAAAAGTGATATTTAATAAATAAAGGTAACACACAAGACGTTAAAAAAACGCCTCTTTGGACGTAATTTAAAATCTGAAACATTTCAAATTTTTTAATTTTTATTTATTATTATTTTTTTAAAGCAAAAACTAGTCTTAAGAGAGTAAGGGCAAATTTATGACAGGGCCTCTTTAGGGAGTTTTCTAACTTTTAGAACAGTAACCACTTAGAGATGTCGGCACACTTTGTGGAGATCGACTGATTTGCATAAAGGTACTGACATGTTTATGAAGATTTCTTTTGACAGATAAAAACTTATCTCCAAAAGAGGTGTAGAGCATCTTTATGCCGGAGCCTCCTTCTGTCTTTTCGATCAGTGGCTGCCTTGTTTAAAAGTGTCGCCGGGGCATTGTTATAAAGCTGTCACTGTATGCTTTCTTTTGTAATACATAAATGAAGATTTTCAAATTGCATTTTTTAAAATTTTTGTTTTCAGGAACCTTCCAAGGACAGTGGGCAAAAGGCATGCGGCACGGCTACGGGGTCCGAAGCAGCGCTCCCTTCGGTCTCGCCGCCCACACCAAGCAGTCAGCACTCCGCAAGTCCGACTCCATCAGCGACTCTCCCCATCAAGAAAGGCACCCGGAAGAATGCAGGGGTGGGTTCGTCCTCAAAGATTCCAGCCTCAGGCACGATGGGACCTGGGGACGGTCTCTACCAGAGCATTCCAAGAGCTCCACACTCAAAGTAATTTATCATTCCATCATTTTTTATTTGCACAAAAGACACTACAGGCCAACAAATTTATCATCTCGATCATGGAGTTTGCATGCTGGTACCCGTGCACCGTAAGTGAGGTAATACTTGGGGAATACATCAAAGAAATATGCTTACGATCCCTTGCGAGTATCGTGTATTACGTGAATGCGAGGTTCTCCCATTGGTCGCTGCGTCTGGCTTCACTAGCGTCTGAGGAGTGATAACCATCATAACTGCACCAGCTTTAAAACACAGGCATATTACACTATATTCTATTATATCGCTACACATTGTGCTACATAATATTATATTACATTGAATTATGCTTCATTATATTATATGAAAGTGCATTATATTATATTACATTGTATCACATTACATTATATTATTGAGTATTACATTACATTATATTGCATTGTATCATATTACATTATATTATAGAGTACTGCATTACATTATATTGCATTGTGCCATATTACATTATAGAGTATATTATATTACATTGTGTTTCATTACATTGCACTACATTACATTATATTATATAGCATTAAATTATTTTGTATTGTATTACATTATGTTACAGTATATTATGCTGTATTACATTACATTGTATTATGTTATATGAGGTACAATTTATAATTATTTTCGTCTTAGGAGTAATTGATCAAAAATTTGCAAATCTCTGATCTAGATCGGGGATTACCAACGGAATCGGTATGAACATCCTGAGGGTCGATGAAGTTTGAAAAGGGCCTGTAACAATCAAGGAGTCGACTGGAGAGTCGATAGCGGATAGATGCGGGAAGTTGATAAATATAACATAGATCTCTTTTATTACAAAAATAACAGTAAAAATTATAATATTGTAAAACTGATAATTAATTGTTTAGTGATATAAAGCTACATCGCATAGCGAGGAAGATATCATACAAAATGAATATAAAGGAAATAATACGTAAAAGGTATTTAATTTATTTTAAAATCAATAATATTTTTTAAATATGTAAATTTTTATGCAAAAAATGCAATATAAAGTTAGTAAAACGAGGAAACACAGGAAAATACAACCAAAAAATAGGATGAACCTAAAATTTCCTCAGAAGCCATATTGTTATGTAGAAGCTACTTGTGAAATTAAAATGATTTTAATGTTATTCACTTTCAAGACATTGAAAATAAAAATGTGCCAGCTCTGCTCATAAAACCGCTGAGATGCAATATATCTGATCTGATATTATGATACATGAAGAGTTGATTGCATTGGAGGAGGATGTTAGCGTACAAGTCTTACTCAAAATACGTATGTACACTAAGTTTCGGAATTTAAAACTCATTCGAGAGAAATATCCCGAAGTAAAATGCTGTTACCGAAACAACGCTACTGATTTTTCTCTCTTCTTAACCTAGTAGAAGTACGTTTCACTTAAGTCAATAATTTACTACCGAAAGCAAGAAAGAGATTGAATTTTTTCCGCATTAAAACCCATAAATACGCATTGAAAAACCATAAATGGCGTTGGAACGAAAATTGCCAATGTAATAAACTTGCAATGAAGAGTTATTGTGGTAGACCAGTGATAATACAAGAAAAGAGAGGGGAAAAGGACTTTTATTGGAACTACAAGTTTTCAACTTTTGCAACGTTTTCGAGATAAAGTCATGTCTCATAAGCAATTTCGTGGCCATAGTGATCCCCCGACCTCACTCCAATGGATTTCTGGCTCTGGGGTTATCTGAAATCTCTACACGTCAAATCCACGAGATTTGTCAGATCTGAAAGATGCCACAAAACGTAAAGTTACACAGATTCTTTTTTTTTTTTGCGATGTTAAATTCGTCATCGTTGTCAACAATCTTCCGCATGCAACGCGTTATCATCTACGAAGGTGGAAACGTTAAAAACTTGTAATTCCAATACTTGAAATGCTTCTGTTGAAACTTTAGAGCTGATAGGCCGATAGAAGTTCATATATCAGGAACATTTTTATGACTGCCCTGTATTTTTTAATAGTAATTTCAATAAGATTCTCCCATGGTCATGGTCAGGGCTGGATTAACCATTAAAAATATAAGCACGTGCTTAAGACATCAAGGAATGGAGGCACCACAAAAGATCCTAAGACATTTAGGAAAGGAGGCACCAAAAAATTTCCCATTACCATATTATTTTACCATGGAATGCATGGTGCAGCTAAACCAAAACCGAGAGAGAGAAGGGATGAAGAAAAAACTGGCGTAAGCACATATTGGGGCACCAAATTCTTTGTGCTCAGGGTCTCAAAATGGTTTAATCCGCCGCTGGTCATCGTCGCTTTCCAACCTAATCTGCCCTTATGGGTTAGGACTACAGGATTCCGATCTGTGCCCATATTGTAACATTGTTGGGAATGTTAAACACTTCTTCGAGGCTCAGCGAGTGGAGATTGTTACAGAGGACAATCTGATTTTAGGAAACTGTTAAAAGATACTAATTTTGCAACGGATGTTATTAGGGTGCTTAAATAAAAATCGCAGTGGTTATAGATGTTGATTCTGGCGATAACAGTTTTTCGCTATTTTGAGTTATTGAAATAAGACCAGTTACTTTTATTTAATTTGATCTTCTTTCTTTCCTTTGTGCTGTTGAGATCATATGGCTATGGAATATAGCCACTTTTTAGTTTGAGTTTTTTTTATTGGAGTTCAGTTACTCGGAACACTGTGGCTGTTTCAGTCGGAATGGTTCAACAACATGATTTCCGCTTCTGTTAATTCATGTTTCGAGGACTGGGCCTTTGGACGTCCACGTTTGTTATTATTCTAGACAAGCGGTTCTCAACCTTTTGACTAACGCGTACCATCTAAACAAAGAATGAAAAACTTTAGTCGCTGCATTTTACGATGATTATTTTTCAATTTCTCGATAGTAATATTAAATAATATTGCCATTTGCACAACTTATTGGCTGATTGTATTAAATAAGCACACAAAAAATATTAGATTAAAAATTGGTTACCACTTTAACTAGCAAAATAAAAGCTATAATATTTTAATTCTAAAATTTAGGGCGAAATTTGGGCCCGTTTGAGAGAGATCAATTTCTTTTTTTCATGCAGTTTTAACCGTAAATTAGGATCCGCTTTATATTTTGTTCTGCATTTATTTTCCAAATATAACATTGAAGAAAATTCTTGTTCGGACAAATAGGTAGCGCAAAAAGGCGATAAAAATTTAATAGCTTTATTTGAAATGTCTTTAAATACTTTCGGTTCAACCAAAAGTTAGCACATGTGTTATTTTTGAAATTTTCAGTTAGATTTCAATCATAGGAAATTTCTATCAATTGTTCTTTTTCTTCACGAGATAAAATTTCAGGTACATTTGAACAAAATGGATTTCTAATCCAGACTTCTTGTTCATAATCTCAGAAAAATACATGTTGAAATAAGTTATCAATGAAAAACAATGATTTTTAAAGTCGGGGGTTAATTCTTTTATTTTCAAATTATTTTCGATTAGAAAACTGTTAAGCGTTTTTAGAAAAAAATTTAAAGAAAATTTATTTTATCTCTAATGGTAATAAATTAACATTTTGTCCATGAAATCCTAAATTTAATTCATTTTACTTTCCAGAAATACCAGGTAAATATGCTAAACCGGCCAAGTAATAATTCACTAAATAAACATTTTTGCAATTCAGATTTTGAATCACAGAGGAAAATTGGAATTTCTGATTGAAGTTCAAAAAGGCGATTTAAAATTTTGCCCTGGACTACCTTACTTCGGAAAATAACAAAAGAGTTTCACGTTCACTGCCCATCTCTTGGCATAAAACCACAAATATTCTTGAGTTTAAAGCTCGGCTGTTAATAAAAATTAACAATTTTGACAGCTTGATTCAAAACGATTTTCAGGTTTTCGGGGATTGTTTTGGCTATTAAAGCTTCACGATGAATGGAGTAGAGAGTAAATTTAGTTTAAGGTGCGACTTTCTTTATTTGAGAAATAACAATATTTTCCTGTTAAAGCCCGAGCCTCCGTCACTACATACTACTACGGTAATGCGCTTATTCCAAGAAATATCATTCTCAAATGTAAAATTGTCAGTTACTTTGAAAATTTCATTTGTAGTTGCTCTACCATGAAGATATTCAAAAAATAAATACTCTTCGGCAATTCCTTTATCTTCTTCGAAACGTATCTGAATTAATGATTGAACAAAGTTCGTTACATCAGTACTTTCATCCAATTGCAATGCGAAATACTCACTGTGTTTATTTTTTGAATAAACGTCTCTTTTACGGAATTTGCCATTTTATGACTATTGCATATCATTGATAAATAGATCTTATTAAAGTTCATTAGCCGTTTTTTCTTTGAATAACGTTAAAACGATATCTTTAGCTGGTGGTAATATAAAGTTTTTTCCAATAGTATGAGCCTACCAATTCTTAGGCTTACTAGGTAACTAGCTTCCAAAGCCTTTTTTATTATTTGTTTTAAAAAAACGTTTCACTACTTGTTTACTATTTTTGAACTCCGATAATTTCCCCTTAAAATATTCTTCAGATTTATCGTTTAAACTGGCATGCTTAGATTCAAGATGTCTTAAGAAACAATGGTTTGATATTTTCATTGGATAATAGTTCATCGCAAACAACGCATTGAAGTTGAGGGTCTCTTTCATCTCCATTCTAAGTAAACCCGAATGATGGTATCTATGATTATTTTACTTTTATGATATTTTCTGTAAACAATTTTTTCTTTTCTTTTCAATATTTTTAGTGCTAGTATATTGTTTTGGATCATAATCTGTGAATCATATCTTTCCCGCTTTGTCAATCCTAGCCATTTTTCCTATCTAAATCTAGGGTTGTTTTATAATTTTTTCACAAAATTTATATGCACGATATATTATGAGTTCTTAAAAGAAATGATATTTTCAAGTCGCGGAAAGTAAAGAATACAGAATAAGATGAAGACAAAATACCTGCTGTTAAGAGACAGCAAATAGACGTAAAAGATCATTCTAATTGAAAATAGAAGCAATATGAGCACGGAAATGGTGGAGACATGCTAATAAATCGATCAACTCTAAAAGAATTAATGATCTTTTTATTGGAACTAATTTTTATTTCCTGTTAAATACAAAAATCCATTTCTATTAATTCTTTTAGAAACAACATTTATGACAAATTTTATGTCTATAGCTAAAGAATATTTGCGAAAATAAAAACAGATTATTTTGCTTTGCCTATGAGCGGCTATTGACTATGAACAAAGCTCAGATCGCATAAATTTAGTATTGTTAGAGAAAAAACTTAAGCAGGATGTCGAGGTATTTAACTTTTGAATTTAAGAGTTAAAAATACTTTATTTCTTTGCGTACCACTCATTTTTCTCTTGCGTACCAGCGGGTGAGAATCGCTGTTATAGACCATTCTCTGGTGGCTTATGATTCCGGTTTGGTGAACTCATGTACACCCAATCGAAAATACCTCAGCGAAAGTCTGTGTTACAATGTACTCCACTGTACCTCATTGCTTTCCATTATACCTGATTGTACCTCCAGTATACCCCATTGCATTTCAGCGAAAGTTCATTGCTTTTCTGCTGGAATGTCCCTGCAAAAGTCTTTAAAAAATGACACAATCTTATGCTTTAAATTTGCATATACTTCGGCGAATTCACCTTTCCAAAGATTTGTACATTTTTGGCCTACAGTAATCGCTTGATGTGTCAAAAGTTGTTTTTTAACTGGCTTTCTAGTCCGCCGACTAGCAGGGAGAAGTCTACCTCGCACATTTGAAGAATGAATGTCGATACCAATGGACAATAGATCACTTTTTAAGATCCTTGTTAGTTTTGGTTTGATTAAGATTTTATGTTGTTTTCCTTCCATATTTGCCGTTCCTTTCCGGAGAAAACGATCTAGTTTCAATGTGTTTCCTCAGAATTCGAGAAATGCTCGATTTTCCAACACCAGCGGCGAAATTTTCCATCACCAGGACCAGTATTTCTAATAATCATGAATGTGTGTCTGTTAAGAGCACATCCTTGCTCTATTTCTACACGTTATATCAAGTTTAAAACTAAAACTAAGTTGGGCAGCACAAACATCCCTTAGAGAGCCATGGTCGGCAGTGCCCTGATATCTACTTTCTAGACCGTGGGCTCCGTGCTGCTTGTGCATCTTTACCTGGACTAGTGGTCAGCTTGTCGCAGAACCCCCACTCATTTTATCGACCCACTCAAGAAATGAAAAGCTGAGTCAACCGTGTCCAGCCCCGGGATCGAGCCCAGGACCTGTGATGCTGCTGCGCGACGCTTTGGTCACTGCGCCACTGGGCCTCATATCAATTTTTAGTACAATAAAATTAACGAATGTAAAAGATATTTAAAAAGCATGCAAAAGTAACTTCCTCTTCAGAAAGCAAAAGTCTAAAAATGATGCAATAATCCTAATTTATTGCCTAAACTAGTTCGACGTAGACGAAACCGATATTAAGTCAGATAAAACTACTTTGAGATACCTGTGGCCACCAAATTAAAATTCTGTGGAAAGAAAAACCGCTTTGTTCCAATTTAATTTGACCACTAGAGTACTTTTACTTCATATTACATTTTTTAATCGCAGTTGTTACCTTTAGGTTCTTTTTTTTAGATTTCTGTTCTTGGAATTTCATTTTAATTATTTGAACTGCGTGGTTGAATTGTAGCTCTTCAAATAGTTATTTTAAAAATTTTTGTTTATCAGATATGCCGTAGATCAGTGGTCGTATGAAACATGTTGGCACATTCAAATATTCAATGCCTTGGAAATAAATATTAAAATCCTTCAAATTTTACTACTGGCTTGTATATAGCAGTATATTTTCTGATGAAATTTCATGGTTTTCGTATTTTTTCACCCCCAAAGTGCTATTAGTCTCGAAATGCGATTCGTTCATTTGAGTCTGTTGCCTTTCGGAAAAATGTAGAATATTATTCTTTCATATTTTAACTGTTACTAATCAACAAACTAAACTATTTAACAGCAATAGAGGAAGTTCATAAAAATACTTTTTTTTCCCTTTTTAATGTGATTGACATAAATAAAAATGCATTTAATTCATGAAATATCGAGTCGGTGCCGTTCTTCATTGGGTTGGCAACACTGCATTGTAAAATCTTCGTTTTCCGTTATTCAATTATTTTCTTTCCCGTCTGGAGTTTGATTGTTGCGAACAGGAGCTTGGATGTAGTTAACAGCTCGTTTTGACTATTTACAAGGCCAATCAGTACGGATTGTCAAGTAGAGAAAAAATGAACACTTCTGATACATTTATGGGGCCTACTGAGTAACATCTTCTCCGATTTCTGCCTAACAACATTCACGGACAAGAGTTTCATGATGAAACTTCTCTTAGCAACTGGCTAACATATTTCTTCAAGTCGAAACACAACAGGTCTACAAGAAAGGCATTGAACTCCTACCCGAACGCTGGCAGTCGGTCATTAACAAATATAGTGATTACATCACTGAGTGAATGAGTAAATGATTATTGATTTATGCGTAGCGTATCAGTGTCTTATTGCTGTGTAATTGCACTGTTTTGTAAGGCATTGTAATGTATGTTAAACAAAAAAACTCCTACCCGAACGCTAGCAGTCATTATTCTATCGACGTTGTAAAACGAACTTCCTGAATGTAGCTATTACCCAATTATGAAGATATTTATAGATTATTATCATAGTTCAATGATGTGTGGTTGAATAAAAATATCCGCAATGCTACTTGTTATATGCATCATAGATTAATTTTGAAACTACAATCAAATTAAAATGAAGAACTAAAAAGTATATTGCCAAATTAAAGTTAGTAGTTTTTTTTCATATTTTATATCAGACATACGTTCATTATATCATTCATATATGCCTCCCACTGGACACGCATAAAAGTGCGTTTTTAAATTCCATATTATTATTGTGCACAGTTTAAAACCAAACATTCAGAAGTTTATTTGTAAGTATTTAAACAGTTTTGAAGTTTTTTAAATTAAGGGTCTTCATTTTGTGAAGTATTTAAATATGAACAGCCTAAGAAAGAGAAACGCTGACTTAATTTATCTTGATTAGTTGTGTTATAGCCCGAGTTGGCGTTTGAGCTTAATTGACAGAATACAATGTGCAGTATCTATACTCAAGTCGAAATTAATGTTCCGAGTTAACAGGTTGGCTATAATGTGCAGTTTAAAAATGGCAGTCGGCGTTTAAGATTCTTGTTCCTTTTTCAGACTCTGATGTCCAAGACCAAGAAAGGTGACAGGACAAGCTTCGAAGAGATGAGTGAAGGTTCGGATTCCGACGCTACGGAGGGAAGCTTCGTGGCCCAGGACGAGATGATCGACGCGAACGTGATCGAGACGTATATGGGGGAGTGGAAAAACGACAAACGCAGCGGCTTCGGTATTGCCGAAAGATCCGACGGGGCTAAATATGAAGGCGAATGGTACAACAACAAGAAGTTTGGATACGGACTCACCACCTACAAGGTATGTCGGATCTTTCTGCATGCTATCGTTAAAAAATGTCAGCATTGTATATTTCCTTAAATCGGAGTAACAGCTTTCAGACCCACAGCAACGTTCATGACTTTTGGAGCGTTTTATTCATAACTGCATTTAGCTCTACTAAAGGAAAGTTATTTTACGCAGAAAATAACTTCTGAATTTTTAATACATGGGAACAGCTTGAGAGTTCTTCAAATCTAGCCATGAAAGCTGGCGGAGATATTGCCAAAGTTGTGCCAAACGCTGCTGAGGATTTCGAAAGGAACGTACTCCTCTTAATTTAATAGACAACTAGTATTTAACTCGCTCTTCGCAGAAAAGCTTTCGTCGATTTCTATTGTTTTGTTAAGCTCCCCGGTTTCCTGGTTTTATCAGAAGTTCTGTTTAAAACGCTATGCGTGAAAACTTTTCGCAAGTATTTGTTCCAATTTATTAACGTTTCGTCGGAAATTTTCAGCTGACTATATAGTGTCCATTAATACACACTTGTTTATGATTGGATGCTATAGCTTTAAAAATAATCCGTTACTTAATATTCTGTAGAAGGCATGTCCCAAATTTTAACAAATTTTTTCCAATGTGCAAGGGGAAAAAATGCAGTTAATATAAATCCTTGCTCATAAAAACAAAAGGTGGATCCCCGAGAATCATTGGGATTAAATCAAACGAAAGGGTATTGTGAATATGCTCTTAGGTCAGGCTTGTCCATAATTAGCTTTAAATTGCGTTGCTTGGCGATAGTTTCATAGTCAATGGGATAATATGTAAGTACTATAAAATCTCTGTCTCTGTAGCGCATCATAATTTTGTAACGATTTCCTAACTAGAATCTATTCGTACCTCTTATTCGCTGCGAATAAGATGTACGAATAGATTAAAGTTAGGAAATCGATGAATAATACTTTTTCGGTGATCGTAAAAAATCATAATTAAAAATTTGTCAGGATGAAGAATTTTCGTTTCTGACAAATTAAAGATATATATAGAAACTTTTTAAGAATTTCATCAATTTTGAACTGCATGGCAGTTTTTGAGTGTCTACCATTTTCTCTTGCGCAAATTAATAGTCTACTTGGTGTATTTTCTCAATTTGTGAGTTCTAAAATTTTTTCTTAAATAGATTAACCGTACCTCTTGTACATTGTATCCTGTGAATGTTTCACTCATAGCGTTTGATAGTGAGAATTCTTCTTGGAAAGACGAACTGTCTTTTGGTACATTTTGAAATTTGTAACTACGTGGAAATTTCATTTTTTAGAGACACTATCTTTATGATGCATTGATGCAATCCATTTGTGCTTGGTACTGTTATCTTGGATAGGTTACTTATGATTTTAAGACTCTTTTAACTTATGAGGGCTTAAAATTTCATTTTGAACAATATAATCTTTTTGGTACATTTCTGAAATGTGGTTTGTTTCAAATTTTCATCTTGGACAGATTAGCAGCCTTTTTTTAAGCCCAAAAGGATATTAATCTCGAAACAGAATTTTGATTTGATTTAATTTGAGTGCCGTTTTCTGTCAATTAATTTGTTCACTTTTCTAGTTTGTTGCCATTCGGCAAAATATACAATGTTATTGATCTTTCTAATTGAATCTGTGCTATGTATTAACAAACTCAGCTATTAAAAAGCAATAGATGCTGTTCTGAAGAATATTATTTTTTACTTCCTTGTGCGAAGCAAAAAGGAAGTATTGTAATCGCGAAAGTTTCAGGCAGCATATTTCAACGAAAGTATCCATTTTGACCGCTATCGAATGCAATTTAACGATGTTTTTGTGTGACATATGTACGTAAGGACAGAATAAAAGACTCTTTTCCTCCAAAAAAATTATAAAACTGTTTTAAAATGAATTCTCAAGAGAATTTTTCGTGGCGTCTGTACGAACGTATGTACGTACGAACGTATCTCGCATAACTCAAAAACGAGTAACCTCAGAACGTTGAAATTTTATATATAGGACTGCTATAACATGTAGATGTGCATCTCGTATTTTGGTTACAATCGGCAGCACCAAACGTATATAAAACGTATATATATATATATATATATATCCACTCTGTTAGTCGGATCAGTGAATATATATATATATATATATCCACTCTGTTACTCGGATCAGTGATCTCAGTATCTTTACTCTTATATGTTTGTAAATTGTACATTTTTTGCTTTAAAAATGATTGAATTATGTTGTTCTTATCTTCCGGTTGAGGTTTTTATGCCTTTAGTAAATCTGTATGCAATATTTTTAGAATTATGAACAATTTTAAAGTTGCTTAAGTGCCGCTAAGCCTAATAATTTTCTTGATGGCGGCCATTGCTTGTTTATATTTGAAACAGCAGAGTAGTGGATTTGTTGCCAATCTAGAGAAATATAGCTTCGCAACAACAAAGATAACGCCTTCATTTATTATTGCCAATTAAATCATTCTTAATCCTTTCTGGAATTTTTTCGAGGAAATAAGTGTTGAATTATTTGAATGAGAAATACTCAATCGTCTGTGAAAAACTGTTTCTTTTTTGTTTTGTTTGCTTAATTACTTTTATACATCGTTCTAGCTTTATTACAGTATTTGAATAGAACATGTGGCAACGCTTAGATAACTCTTAATATAAATTTTGTGCATTCTGAGTTATATTATGAACGAAGTATAACGCTGTTACGTGAACCTAGCGCCAGAGTGTCGCTATGGTAAACAAATAGAGAGTGAATTTTAAAGAATGCATTTATTCTATCGTGGTTTATGCGTTATCGACGAAGTAGATTTAATTCAATCCAATAAGTTTAATTGAAATGTAAGAAAAATGCGTATAATTTAATATTCCGCACAAGGAAGTCATGTGGTGTACAGATTTTTTTACTTTTTTGACCGAAATACGAATACATTGAATTAATGATATAGCAAATTAAAAACATTGAATATTTTTACAGAATGGTGTTTTGTATCTTTTCACTTTTTAAACAGACAGAAGATATAAAAAAATAAAGTTCCCATGTTCATCTACATGTATTCATCTGGTATCCTATAAAGTGTTTTGCTATTACACTTCAGCCATCTCAATTCAAAATCTCGACTGAAAAGCCATATATTAAACTTCATTTCAGCCATTCTGGGTAACCGCTAAAATCTGAACCCTTTCAGATTTTTATTTTTCTTTAAAATGTGTTCTTATATTTAGTTTTTTAAAATTAATTTTCAGTTTATCAAAATTATTTTCTCTCTCTTTTTTTAACTTTGAGTGTTCTCAAATTTCATTTTGACAAAATAATTGGTTTTCATTATAAGCTTTTATTTCGTTTACTTATGGTGTTTGCCACTATGATAAAAAATTTGTTATCAATTCTTAACCACTTCTTAATATGTAATCGAGTTCAAATCTTGTACAAGCATAGTTTTTCGATGACAGTGCTATGTGATAAAGCGATTTTGTTTTTCTTTTTGAAATTTTGATTAACGTTTTTAAAAATTTTTTTTTAAGTTCAAACGATTTTTGACACATTTCTTTGTATAACGAGTAGACTAAAGATCTCAGAAATTTATTGCCTGCACTATCGGACAAAGCGTAAAAAATCTTTTAAATGAATGTCAAATTTTTCACATCATTTTTGATTTTTGAACAAGAATGATATAAAAAAGTATTATTTGGGCGAATTTATGTATTTTTTTTTTCAAAGAATATGCCACTATATAAAACGAACGTCACTTCTTCCTTCAGCATTGGTGGGAAACAGTTTTCAAGGTTATGATGTTATTGCGCTATAACCTTGAAATGAATACCAAAATTAAATCTATCACGTCATTTTTAACCTTTTCCATTTAAGATTATATATATTTTTTCCAGCATTTAATTTTAGGAGACATCAGTTTTTGACATCCAAAAATATGCGTAACATTGTATTTTTTCAAAGGAATCTAAAATTCTGACATACAAAAATATATCCATAATAAAAATTTGAAATTTGAATTTTTTAAAATCATTATTGCATAGTTGCATTAAAACATTAAAAACCACCTAACGGGTCTAAGAAATTTTTGTCTTTAGTAAATGGTCGCTTTAGAGAAAATGGCAGCCGGTAATAGTAATTAATGTTCAGTACCAACATTTATTTATATTCCCAGAAGAGATTGAAGTTTGCAAGAGATGACTACTGGCCTCATCAATTATTTTAAAAGTCATACAGATTTGTCAACCCTGCAGTAAATTTATTGAGCTAATTATAATTTTTAAAAATCATAGAGTACGATAATCGTCCATAGATTACAATAGTAGTCAAGATGCCATAGAATTACTTAGTTTATAGATAATAGTCCACAGTGATATATGTAGTCAATAGCATACATAGTCTATAGATACAATAGAATGGATCATAGTTCGATAGTCGCATAAGTTATGGATGGTCCATAACCATAGTCACAAAACAATAATGTGTAGTTACAGTCACAGTAATTCATTGTCACGGTTAAATACTGTTCATAATACATAGTCCAATAGTTACGTAATACTAAGTCATAGATACCATAACCCATAGCTACAATAAAATACACATTCAGTAGTATAGATTGGCCACAAATGACCTTAGAATACATAGTTTTTAAACAAAATGGTCTTAATATATATTGTTGCGAGCGTACGGGTTCGTTAGGAAATGAATGCACAAGTCCGATGAAAAATGAACAAAAAAATTTATTATTATCACAACAAATATGATTAAATGTTCTCAAATAATCGTGCAGTATCACAATATATCACAGTAGTTATCTTCTAACTACTCAAACGTTCAAAAGAACTTAATTCAAAACAGCTAAAGAAAGCTAATCCGCGAATTCGCTACAATCAACAAGAGCAGTTTTCTAAACAACAACAAACTAAGCAACTACTACGAACTGAGATGTTTTCCTCCTTTTATAAGATTTTAAAATCACGCGCTAGAATTTTCCAGTACTTTCTCGAAATCAAAAAGAGATATTTATTTATTTAATGCACGCGCTCTTGTATTTTCAATTTTCCGGCTTAGCTTTCTTTTAATATTCGTCACGCGCTGCACTGCGCGAGAAATAAAACCATTTAATTTACAATTCAACTAACATTAGCTTTTTAAATACCAAATTCGTAACACTGCCCCCTTGCCAAGGACTGCACGTTCCGGGCAGTACAATCCCTGGACAGGAAGCTAAACTTACAACTGTGGCATAAATGCAATAATAAGCATTACATTACAATAATAAACAACATGAACAATAAATGCAATAAATAAAACAAATCAAATGCTATCAAATACAAATCAAATACTAAATGCAAATCAAATACTAAATACAACTCAAATCAAATACACATTTAAAAACAAAAAGGACCATGGTCTTATACTATTTACAATTATTTACATTACAGTACTATGGCCATAGTAATGAGCTAACCTGTCGTAATGAACGACTGTTAGGTAAGAGTTCGAAGACTTACGGATCCGAACCACGACGTCATTCAGCCTGTTTAGGACTGTGTGCAGGACCATCCCAAGGTGATTGTAATTTCAGGCCAGACTCCTTTTCGTCGAATCGGGTTCCACAACCACACCTTGTCTCCTTTGTTGGAATCTATGTCCAGTAGCTCTCGTGTGTGCATATCTGGACTTCTTCACTTTCTTCGTCGCCAAGTTCATTCGCTTTCGTGCGGAACGGTGCATCACTTCAAAACGGGCCAGGGCATCTTGGATGTTTTCCTCAGGAGATGAAGGCGCATCCGAATGGCGATCAAACAGGCGGTCACAAGGCAGACGAGAATCTCGACCGGAGAGCATCTGTGATGGTGAATACCCGGTAGTCTTGTGTTTCTCTTCGACCTTGGTAGGATTTCGGCAGCTTTCTGAATAGGGTCTTTCACATGAGACGTCGGCGTTTCCAGGCGATGATTTCTTTTGAAGATGGATTGTCATGTCTTCAGATGCTGAGAACAGCTTATTGTTTTTGAAGTCTAAGGAAAAATTGTATTTCCTTAAAAAGTCCAATCCGAGTATGCATGGATCTGTAATATGCCGTATGATGGTAGGCGGCACTTCCAAACGTGATTTTCACGTTTAACTTCCCAGCTATGTCGATCTTGTCACCACACGCAGTCTGAAGGGTAACAGAAGATGGCTTCCAAATAAGTTTATCTTTAAACCGTTGAACTAGATCTCTCCGAATGATGGTAACATTAGCTCCTGTGTCAATAATCATATTGCA